ATAGCAACAAGAAAAGTACCTAGGGAATTACTTAACCAAGGACGTAAAAGAACCTCTAAGGAGAACTATGAAACACTGAGAAGGAAATATCAGAGGATGTTAAACAGATGAAATCCAACCATGCTCGTGGATCGGCAGACTCAATACATCAAATGTCTATACTACCCAACTGATCTACAGATTCACTGCAATACTATTAAAATCCCATCAGCATTCTTCACAGATATAGAAAAAATTTTACGCTTCGTATGGAACCAAAGAAGACCCGAATATCAGATGCAATTCTAGGCAACAAAACAAAATGGGAGCCTTAATATGCCAGATATCAACTATATCAAAGCTGCAGTAATTAATCAATATGGTATTGGCACAAACAGGAATTTGACCAGTGGAACAGATGTGAGTCCTGATAAAACATCCTCATATAGCCATCTAATCTTGACAAAGCAGAACAAACATACGCTGGGGAAAAGAATCCCTTTTAATAAATGGTGCTGGGAAACTGGATAGCCACCTGTAGAAGCTAAAACAGGACCCATACCTTCACCTCTCACAAAAACAACTCACCTGGATAACAGACTTAAACCTAAGGTATGAAACTATTAGAACTCTAGAGGAAAAGTTGGAAACACTCTCCTAGACATCGGCCTGGGCAAGATTTTATGAAGAGTCCCAAAGGCAATCACAGCAGCAACAAAATAAATAAATGGGACATGATAAACTACAAAGTTCTGCACAGCAAAAAATATCATGAAAGTAAACAGAAACCACCAGAATGGGGAGAAATGTTTGCATCCTATGATCCGATAAGGGACTGATAAGTAGAATATACTTAGAACTCAAGAAATCAGGAAAAAAAATCAAATAACTCCATTAAAAAGTGGCAAAGACTTGAACAGAAATTTTCTAAGAAGCAGAAGAATGGCCAACAAACATATGAGGAAATGCTCGACATCTCTAATCATCAGGGAAATGCAATCAAAACCACAATGAGATATCACTTAACCCAGTGAGAAGGCCTTTATAAAAATCTCCAAACGCACACCATCTAGGATGGGTCATGATGGGACTCACTTTTGGGGGAGGGGGGTAATGGGCATTTATTGAAACCTTAAATCTCCCATATATGCCGAAAATAAAAAAAAATCTCTAACAATAAATGCTGGCGTGGTGCAGAGAGGAGGAACAATCTACACTGCTGTGTGACTGCAAACTAGTTAACTCTGTGGAAGACAAATGTGAGATACCTTTAAAGTGATACAAGTGAATCTACCATTTATCCAGCACACCCAATTGCTAGGCATCTACCAATGTCCAGTGGACACTCTACAAAAAGACCCTGCACTCGAATGTTATTAGCAGCAGCATTCATAATTGCCAAGAGGTTGAATCAGCCCAAGTGCCCATTCAACTCCAAGAATGGATTAATAAAATGTGGTTATAGTATACCATGGAGTTACTATTAGCTCTAAGAAACAATGGTGATATAGCACATCTTATATTTTCCTGTTAAGACTGGAACCATACTACTAAGTGAAGTATCCCAAGAATGGAAAAACAAGAACCAGATATATCTCCAGCAACTGGTATTAACTGAGTAGCACCTAAGTGGACACATAAGGTACTTACAGTAATAGGTTGGGCAGGTGGGGGGGGGAGTCGGGGGCGGTATATACCCCCCCCCCTTACATAATGAGTGAATGTGCACCATGCTGGGGGATGGTCATGATAGGAGCTCAGACTTTTGGGGGGAGGGGGGAAATGGGCATTTATTGAAACCTTAAAATCTGTACCCCCATAATATGCCGAAATAAAAAAAAAAGGAAAAAATATATATATCTGCCCCCCATCATGTTTATTGCAACACTATTCACAATAGCCTTGGTATGGAATTGACTTTAGTGTCCATCAACAGAAAAATCTACAAATATTGCAAATTTCCTTTATACAATGCAGTCTTATTAACTATAGTCATCATGCTGTACGTTAGGTCTTTAGACTTATTCATCCGGCAAAACTGGAACTTTGTACCCTTTGACCAACATGTCCTCCTTTCCTGCACCTCCTCTTTCCTGGTAACTGCTGTTCTACTTTCTGTTTCTAAGAGTTCAACATTTTAGTGTCCTTGCGACACCTCTCCCTCCAAAAGGTGACTATTTCAAGAGATGGACTTGTTAATTTGCTTGACCGTAGTAATTGCTTCACTATGTAAATGTATATCGAAACATCATTTTGTATACTTTAAATAAATAAAATTTTATTTAAAATAAAAATAAAATAATAATCTTTCCAATCATTCCCTTTTTATTTAATTTTCCAGCTCTAGCAACATAAGGGTTTTCCATAAGTTCTGGGACACCATGGTTCCTATCCAAGTATTTATTTTATTGACTTTTTATTGGCTTTTTTCCCCAAAAAATTCAATTATACAAAAAAGATAAAAGAATAGAACAAGCTGCACTCACACACTCTTTATTTCGATCTCCCAACTGCTAACATTGGCCACATTTGAATTTGATGTTAGATGCTTAGACAGATAAAGTCTTAGACCACTTATTCTGTTATAACAAAGTACCAGAGACTGGATGACTTCTAATTAACAGAAATTTACTTCCCCTAGTTCTGGAGAATGAGAAGCCCAAGATCAAGATTGTAGCAGATTTGGTATCTGGTGAAAGCCCACTTCCTGATTCATAGGTGACCATCTTCTTGCTGTGTCCTCATATGGCAGAAAAGGTGACGGAGTTCTCCAGTGTCTCTTTTACAAATTATTATACTAATCCCATTCATGAGGGCTTTGCTCTCATGACCAAATCACTTATCAAAGGCCCCACCTCCAAATACTATCATATTAGGTGCTAGGATTTAAAATATGAATTTTGGGTGGACACAAAAATTCAGACTATAGCACATAGAGATATACATATAAGCATACAAACAATCCATTAATATTTTTATTGTTTCTGCTAAATTATTTGAAAGTAATTTTTAGCAATAGTGACATTTCACCCTTCAAAACTCCAATGTGCATTTCCTAAGAATTAGGACATTCTCCTAAATACCACAATATCTATATCAAACCCAGAGAATATGACTGGGTGCGGTGGCTCACGCCTGTAATCCTAGCACTCTGGGAGGCCGAGGCGGGCAGATTGCTCGAGGTCAGGAGTTTGAAACCAGCTTGAGCAAGAGTGAGACCCCGTCTCTACTATAAATAGAAAGAAATTAATTCGCTAACTAATATATATAGAAACAATTAGCCGGGCATGGTGGCACATGCCAGTAATCCCAGCTACTTGGGAGGCTGAAGCAAAAGGATTGCTTGAGCCCAGGAGTTTGAGGGTTTTGTGAGCTAGGCTGACGCCACAGCACTCACTCTAGCCTGGGCAACAAAATGAGACTCTGTCTCAAAAAACAAACAAACAAACAAACAAACAAACAAAACACCCAGAAAATATAACATTTTTATAAGATACTATCTTATATACAGCCTTTATTTAAATTAAAAATCTATTTTAAACAAAAAGCCCATTGTAACTATTTTTAATTTTGATCTAGGATCCAATTTTGGTAACTTAGATAAATATTCAAAACTATTCACTCTCCCCTCCATTAAGTTTGGCCCTAGCCATGTGACTTCCTTCAACCAGTAAACTGTTCGAAGGCTTAGAGTGAGCAGGGCCCTTAAATGTGCTTGTTTCTGTGTTTCTGTCATTGCCATGAAAAGAGATTCCTTAGCTTAGGAATTATGCTCTGAAATAACCATACAGTATCAGAGCCTCACCAGCCAATCCACAAACTCATGAATAAAATAAATGCTTATCAAGTTCCAATTCCAAAATGATGGCATAAATGCAAGCTAGCTTTACTCCCACACAGAAAACCTAAAACAAATATACGGTGCCAAGATTGTCACCAGTAATATTCCAGAAAGTAAATATGAGGATCAGACAGTTTCTGAAGCCACAGAGAAATGAAAAAACTCTGAGCAGATGGTAAGTAAATTGGACTTCCATATCCATCATGCCTCTCCCCCCACCATCTGCCTGACATAAAGTGCATGAAAAATTTTCCCTTGACTCATGGTTTCTACACTGGGAAAAGTGAGAGTGAGGTAGAAAACCAGGTTCCCCACAATCTTGGGTTCCCTGGCAGGAGACCTGTCTCTGTCTCAACCCACAGGGATCATCAGGAGTGCCCGAAAGGAGAAATATCCCTAAAGACAGCCAGAGACAAAAGGGGAGGCAGGACCAGCCCCCAACCCTAGAAACTCTGCTCTGTAACTTGACCAAAGGAGTCACCAATTAGAGTGGCCATTCAACAGCACTACAGTGTAGGAGGTTGATCCAGAAGTCTCCTGGGCATGAGCCCATAGCCAGACTTCCCACACCATAGGAATATCCCCTTTAGTACCTCTCCCATTTGGGACAGGTAGCACTCTAATTGTTTACCAGAACCAGGGCAAACCTGAGCTTAAGGCACCATCTATTACCACAAAGGAGTCAGTGACTTAACAGAGTAAAAAGAAAATCAACAAATTAATTTCAAAGAATTTCTAAGTGAACATATTTAACAAACAGCAGCAACAACAAAAAGCCAGACAGAGAAGAATGGAATAAATAACTAATCCTTCAGTGCAAAGATACAGACATAGATCCATAAGAAACAACAGCTATCAGGGAAGCAAAACCTCCAAAAATGGACAAGCAAGGAACCAATGACTGATGCTAACAAGGCAGTGATATGGAAATTCTCTGGTCAATAATTCAAAATAGCAGTTTTAAGGAAATTCAGTTCTATATCAAGAAAGACTTCAAATAAAAAAATTAATGATGCATCTCAAGGAAATAGAAAAGCAAGAACAAGCAAAACCTGAAATTAGTAGAAGGAAAAAACTAATAAAGATCAGAGCAGAAATAATAAAATTGAGACAAAAAAACCCCACACAAAAGATAAACAAAACAAAGAGTTGGGATTTTTAAAAAAAGATAAACAAAATTGTCAAAACTTTAGTTAGACTAAGAATAAAGAGGGAAAACCAGATAAATAAAATCAGAAACAAAATAGGAGACATAACAGCTGATATAACAGAAATACAAAGAATCATTAGAGAATATTATGAACCATTTGCCAACAATCTTAGACAAGAGAAATAATTTTTTTCACAACTATTGCACAGCAGGTGACTATAGTAAACAATAGTGTAGTGCATACATATAACATTACTCTGCACCCCATAAATACAGGCAATTATAATATTCAATTTATTTTTTAAAAAACGAAAATTGTTGCTTCACTTCCACTTTCCAAAATTATGGGTACTCTCTTGTGGCCAGCCCTTACCTGGAATCAGGCAGGGAAGAGAATGATAGAAAATGTGTGTATAGCTTAGCTAAGTTGATAGAGTACAAAGCCACCACACATACACAGATATTTGTTAAATTATACTTTGTATTTTTGTGGATTTAAAGTGTTTCAAAACTGTTGGTGTAGGCAACAATTTAATAGGTGAGCTTATGGAGTTTAAAATTTTTCTTTTTACTTATATTCATTTTCTGATTAAAAAACACACATGTGTGTCTTTTGTAGATTGAAAGCTCATTAGAAATAGTATGAGTTTTAAAAAATTTTTCATCATTATATCTTTAGTATTTTATATACAAGAGGTTCTCAATACATATTTGTTAAGTAAAAAATAAAAAAATATACTAGATATATATTGCTGGCCCAGTCCCTGCTCCCAACAGTCAAGCCCTGACTATTTTCAGAGAAACTTCTAGTAGCATACAAAATTAGTGTTAATTATTTTGAAAGAATCCAATTAATACTGCACATTCCAGTGCATTTCTGTCTGTCTTGGGCTAAGCTGAATACAACTGGAGATCTATTGATCTCTTTCTTATATATGTCCGATTCATCTTTGCAAAATTCCGTGTGGACATGGTCAGGGCGCTATCAAATTGTTTGATTTCTTTTTCTTACCTTTCATGAGCATTTGATTTTTAAATGGTGTTAGTGGATTGTCTGAGCCTGGGCAGGCAATTGTAGACCAAGGAAAGACAGGTAGAGGTACAGGAGATGGGTAGCTTGGTAAATGCTCTGCCTCATCTCAGAAAGTTCAGTCACTTTCCACATATACGAATGTACAATCTGAGCAGCTGGAGTCATGTTCCGTGATTGAGTAGTAATGAACTGCCTGAGTAAAAAGGTCCCTTACAGCCGTGTGCCTTAGCACATCTCACCTCTATCGATATGCAGTTTGCAATACATTTTGTTAGGTGGTAAGTTGGAGGAGCTCTGAATATATTGAGTTTTTCTACACAGAGATGAACATGTATTGATTTTTATTAGCTTGCAGGTTTTTCATCATATTATTTAGTCTAGAGGCCAGGAGATCTTATTGATTTGACTCTTTAGTCCTCCGATGATTCTGCAGTTGATTTTTTTAGGTCCTCAAATGGCTCTTTAGTGTCCTTGCTTGTACTAGGGTGAGCTGTTTTCTTAAAAACTCCAAACATGGGAAACCCACTAAATTTGTTCTCTTTCTTTTTAGAGAGTAAAAAGATGTCTGAAGCTTTAGCCATAAATAAAAGTCCATTGTGCAAGTGCTGTAAGGAAGAAAGCAACTCAAACAATCATTATTTACTCTACAAATATAAACTGATATTCATTGATGGCAATTTTAGAAAGAAGCTTAGATTTTTCTCTCCATCATGTATGTAGTGGATGTAGTTGTGTGGGATGTTCAACTCCACTTGCATGCTTCATTTTTAATTACCTTAAGGGTCTTGTCCACTGTCTAAGCACTGTAAAAAGAGGACAAATGTGTCAAAGTGCTTATCTTTGAGGTTTAAAAAGCACTATTGCAATGTAAGTCAGAAAAATATTTCAAAGAAACTATAATTAGTTAGAACAGTTTATTCCTTTCTTCCTATGAGATGAGATACCCCCAGTGCTGGGGAGGAGAGAAGAGTTTATACATAAGTATTAGATGGTGTGAGAGCTCTGTGCCCTGCCCTGTCACTCTAGCCTGAGCCAGATTTTGGTAGTAGACATGTGAGAATTTGAGGGATCTTTGAGATAGGTAAAGCCCAAGGAAAAGAGAGTCTCATAGAAGATTTCTCCAAGCCATCCTGTTGCAACAGAGAACAGAAATAGTGATGCAGTATGTCTGGGTAGGAGAAAGTTGGAGACTGCCCACAAATTTCCCAGGGTGGTTGGAGGCATTGAAAAGTGTAGCTCCCTGAGCTCACATGGACATTGGCTGAGAGAAAGGAGCTCTTGAGCATGCAAGAGGCTGATGGTCAGGATATGACAACTAGGGCAACTTCATTGATCAGTCCCAGCAGGGATGAGATGATGACATATTTATACCTCAGTGGATTACCAGCATGGTATGGAACATGCTTCAGTGTCAGATGAAAAACAAATGTATTATCTGAATCGAAAGAGATCAGCTAGAGCCAAGACAAAGATGAATAAACGACTCTTCCCTGCTGGGAAAATTAAAAGTAAAATCTTTCAACCCAGAAAACCACTGCACAAAGGTAGTCTAGAAAGAAAACGGTTTTATTTTTGAATAAACAGTAAACCAGAATATGATGCACATCATAGGCAATCTGCTACGAGATTGCAAAGAGAAAGAAATCCTATTCTTTTATGTAGCCAAGCAGATTAAAAGACATTACATACATATTTTCAAGATAAACAATAACCAGTTCTCAAATAGAATGATTTGACAACATCATTCACAGCACATAGTTCATCCGAAATTTACCTGATACTTGGAGTGAACATCTGTGTTAGTTAACTTCCTTTATACAAAGGAAAATGCACTTTTCATAGCTTTATAACAGAAAGTAGTTTTGCAACTTGGAGCCAGGTGCCTGCAGAAATTAGGCGCCTACCACTTCGTAGAAACTGGGAAATGGGGCATGCTTTGTGTCTTGATGTTTACATTTTTAAGGGCATGGCTCCCAGGTCCATGAGGGAGACATTTCTGGGCTGCAAAGCTGGCAAGAAGCTTTTATAAAACGATTTACATACATTTACAATTAAAAGTTTACAAAAGAAAAGGCTATATGGAAAGGGAAGGGGGGTGTCTCTTTAATTTTAACAAAGTAAAATTAAGCCTCCTATTTTAAATTTTCATTTGTTTGTGTATACCACTGATGTCCTAGCAATATTTAAGCCTCCTCAGGTTTAATCCTCCAGAACATTCACATTACTGTGCCGGAAAAAGGGACAAGATCGCAAATGTGACTATTGTATTCCTAACTGAAGTATCACTGAAATTGACTAAGTTTAGGGAAGCTAGACAAATGGGACTTAGAGGTAGACATTAGTTTTAAACTGAAGCTGTGTCCAGTGAGTTTGCACTTATCTTATGCAGAGTTACACAGGTATGCCTCCTTCCTTAGACCTAATAGCAGGTGGGCAGGGCCAGGGTGGACAGCAGGAGCAGCTTCATCTGCCTCTGGGCAACATCTGCACTTTCTATGTATTTTATGATGTACAAAAGGCTGGAAAATATAGGCTTATTGCCTTTGTCTCTTGGGTGTGCAATGTCATTTTGCAAGCTTAGACATGACAGTACTCAGAGGTTGCTACAGTGTTCAGTTGTTATTTGAGTGTGAATGAACCCAAGGATGAGCAACCATTATACATGGATGGGAGAGTTGATGGGGAGAGTACATCTTTGCGGGGAATGGCTAGGTATATTAGCATTGTAGTGACTGGAGTTGTTAAAAATTTTGAAGGAATTAGTTTATATTTTACCCAGGGTGATTATTTAAACAATCCAATTTGCAGAGAGACAAACTAATCAATATTTTTCAAAATGTCGCACCACATTAGCAGACATAGACAATGTCCCTGGCTTAGCCCTCACCATAGAAATGTGAAGTGGTGGCTGGAGATTTGAGTGTCTTATGACTGCTTTGTGTATCTGGATCTGATATTTTATTTATTGTTAGCATCTTGATCCCCAAAGCTCTCCTTTTTCATGCATCATGGTCAACTGACTGTGACAGAGAAAAGGAATTTCATGGAGCTATCATCAGTGCAAGGGATGTATTCTGAAATGAGCTTGGCTAGATTTTGATTTTAGAATTGCATGATTAAAGGTGTCTTTCAAAGTTAAAAATGATGAAACTTCTTATTATTGGCATTTAAATTTTCTCCTAGTGGCCATTTATTCCTACGTTCAACACTTTTACTGAATACCTCTCATGTGGCAAAGACTATTACAGACACTAGGAATAAGATGATGGATCACGTATGTTTCTTGCCTTCGATGAGCTGCTCACTATTTTGTAGGGGGAAAAGACCTGTACATAGATACATTATAATGCAACAGGCAGGTAACTTTAGAAATATCAACTAGGAAGGCAGTAGTTAACTTTGCTGAATGTTTCAGAAAGGTGAAGATCAGGAGTGCTTCCCATTCCTTGAACACTACACTATTTCACTCTACTTTGCCTACGGAGTCATATGTCCCAGTGGAAAAGAGGGCTGAAGACCTTTGAAATTTGAAGAATTCACACTGTTTCTTTTTCTCACTTCCCTCATTAGTCATATAGTTTTAACAATTCATTCAATTAGTCCTTTTGAGTGAAGGCATGTCAGCTATTTGCATAAAAGACAATCCCTCTAGCAATATATAAAATGCCACTCTCAGATTTTATCATTTCTTTGTTGTCTTGAACAGTATTGTAATTAAATCTAATTAAATAGATTTATGGTTTGGAACACTAATGGTCATGAATAAATACATGTCCCCTGAAGCTATTTGCTCAATTTGTGCTTTATGTCTTTTAATTTGCTTCAATTATACATGTTCAGCTTAATCCTCCATTTATTTATTTGTTTGTTTGTTTATTTATGGGAGGGGAGTTAAACTTGGAACTGTATGCTTCTCATATAGAAGATTTGATTTTCTTACAGTTTCTCTTTAGTGTCATTCTTCTGCCATATGTTTTGAATAGGGGACTTGTAGGTAGCTTATTACACAAAAAAATAGCATATGTTTTCCAGGCCAACAGAACATTTTTGCAAAATCAGAAATGGCAAAAATACGTATAAGAAAAAAGAAATAGTTAAATTATAGTTAGATTATACTTAGGCAAGGAAACAAAGACAAAAATAAATACAAATGGCCAATAAACATTTCGAAATAACCTTATCGGACTTTACTAGTAATCAAAGAAATGCAGATTCAAACAATAATCAGATGATATGTTTGCCTACTAAATTAACGAGAAAAAGTCAAGATATCTGAAGTTTGTCAATGACGAAGTAAAACTGTGCTGTTGGCAGCAGTGAAATTGCCAGGCTTTTCTGGAAAACAATTTGGTGATAATTATAAGGATCCTTAATGGCATTCATATTCTGTAACCTAATTATTCCGTTTTAGGCACGTAGATTAAATTATATGTCAAAAATTAGGAAAATTCTTGTATATAAATATAGCCATCATAGTATTTATTTATTTAAAAAGATTTTATGTTTTAGAGTAGTTTTAGGTTCACAGAAAAATTGAGAGAGAGCTATAGGTAGTTCCCAAATATCCTTTGTCCCCAAACATGCACAACTTTCCTTATCTTATGCAGAGTTACACAGGTATGCCTCCTTCCTTAGACCTAATAGCAGGTGGGCAGGGCCAGGATGGACAGCAGGAGCAGCTTCATCTGCCTCTGGGCAACATCTGCACTTTCTATGTATTTTATGATGCACAAAAGGCTGGAAAATATTGGCTTATTGCCTTTGTCTCTTGGGTGTGCAATGTCATTTTGCAAGCTTAGACATGACAGTACTCAGAGGTTGCTACAGTGTTCAGTTGTTATTTCTAAATAACAACTACCCTAAAATTTCTCTGCTCTCTGCCTATTCAACACCCACACCCGTTCCCTGCTCACCTCGTCCAACTCTCGGCAACACTGAATTTTTACTACCTTGATAGTTTGGCCTTTTCCTTGATGCTGTATAGTTGGAATCACATTGCGTAAATTTCTCCGATTGGCTTCTTCCACTTAGTAATATGCGTTTAAGTTTCCTTCATGTCTTTTCATCTCTTGATGGCTCTTTTCTTTTTGGCATTAAATAATATCCCATTGTCTGTATGTAACACAGTTTACTTATTTACTGAATGAGATTGTGGTTGCTTCTAGGTTTTGAGAATTATGAATAAATCTGCTATAAACATCTGTATGCAGGTTTATGTATGGACATGTTTTCAACCCCTTTGGATAGATATCAAGGAGCATGATTGATGGATTGTATGATAAAAGTATTTTAGTTTTTTAAGATACTGTCAAAATGTGTTCTAAAGTGGCTGTACCGTTTTGTATTCCCACCAGCAATGAATGAGAGTTCCTGTTGCTCCACATCCTCACCAGAATTTAGTGTTGTCAGCGTTCTGGATTTTGGTCATTCTAATAGGTATGTAGTGATACCTCATTGCTGTTTTTGTTTTCATTTCCCAAATGGCAGGTGATGTGGAGCTTCTTTTCATATGCTTATTTGCCATTTGTATATCTTCTTTGGCGAAGTTTTTTATTAAGCTCTTTGGTCCATTCTTTAATCTGGTGGCTTGTCACAGTGTTATTTTTAATACCATCTAGCAATACTCTCTAGCAATAGGACAATCATTTAAATTAATGATAGCACATAAATAATTTTAGAATGTTATGATACCATAAAGTCACCTATTTATTCCATCGGTAGTTTTTGAATATTCATGTACCAGGCAGGGTGTAAAGCAGGGGTCCTCAAACTTTTTAAACATGGGGCCAGTTCACTGTCCCTCAGACCATTGGAGAGTGTGCACTGTGGGCCCAGGATGAGTCGGCTGCTAAGCAGGACAGGCAGCAGCAGCAAAAACACCCAGCAGGCCAGACAAATGTCCTCATTGGGCGGCATGTGGCCCGCAGGCCATAGTTTGAGGATGCCTGGTGTAAGGCTTTAGAAGCCATATTTTTTTTTTTTGAGACAGAGTCTCACTTTGTTGTCCAGGCTAGAGTGAGTGCCGTGGCGTCAGCCTAGCTCACAGCAACCTCAAACTCCTGGGCTCGAGTGATCCTTTTGCCTCAGCCTCCCGAGTAGCTGGGACTACAGGCATGCGCCACTATGCCCGGCTAATTTTTTTTTTTTATATATATATCAGTTGGCCAATTAATTTCTTTCTGTTTATAGTAGAGACGGGGTCTCGCTCTTGCTCAGGCTGGTTTCGAACTCCTGACCTTGAGCAATCTGCCCGCCTCGGCCTCCCAAGAGCTAGGATTACAGGCGTGAGCCACAGCGCCCGGCCTAGAAGCCATATTTTTAAAGACTGATTAAAGAGACACAGTGGTTAGGAGCATAGAGCATGGAGCTTGCCTGGGTCTTCATCTGGTTCTGCTACTTCCTGGCATGTGATTTACTCTCTGTGACTTGGTCTCTTTATCTGGAATAATGGGATTATAAGGGCACCTATTTCATGAGATTTTTATGAAGCTAAAATGAATTAGTATGCTTAAAGCACTTAGAGAAGTTCCTGGCATCTAGCAATTGCTGGGTAAGTGTTATTTTTATTCATTATTACTATGGCAAGTGAAAAACACATGACAGTATGTGCTGGATTTTTGTGAACCACTCCCACCCAAAGCCAAAGCATGAAATATAATGTCTAAATGAGAAAAAGACTGAAAGCATAGATGAAAACATTTACTGAAGGATTATTGATAATAATAATTATATATGTGAATTTTTAATGCATAAAATTTAGATATACAAGAAATAATTTTTCTCTGTTTTTAAAAATAAGTGAACTTAATTCTACCCGAAGTCCTGATTCCACTGATGGCAACCAACCTTTGACAACTGAGTGATTGCTTGCTTAGTTCAAGTTTATCATAGATAATTTAGATGTTTTCAAAGTCATCCAGAGTTTTCTTCCATTCCTTTTATCCCCATGGCTATCCTAAGTTTTGGGGGGAGATTATAAAACAACATTTCATCAGAGGAGGCTGTATCATTCTGACTTTTCATTCTTGGCATTAGCTGCTCAATCTTTTCCCTGCTACCTACTGTTAATCAATATTTTTTTTTTTCTTCCAGAAGACATGATAGGATAACACATTTTCTTCTGTGTCAAGTGGTCATTTTACTTCCTGTATTTCTTTTCTTGTCTCAGCAGTCTTATAGGCTCTCTGTCTGTCCCTCTCTCTCACACACACATTCTTGCTCTTATTCTTTCCTTCTTGTTGACATTTCTGGTATGATCTTAGAATCAAAAGAAATTTTGAATTCTTTTACCATGTTAATGCAAGAAAGTGACTCCCAATGCCTGGAACCTCTTGAAGTCCAAGTGGGTCTTTGGCTTTGCACAAGAAAGAATTCAGGAGCGAGCCAACAAAATAAAGTGAAAGTGAGATTTATTCAGAAACTGTAGAAAGTTAGAAAGTCTACTCCACAGACAGGGTAGAGGCTGGCCCTCCCTGCAGAAGAGAACCTGCCCCTTGCAGACAAAAACCAGTCCCTTACGGAGGAGAAATAGCCCCTTGGTTCCTCTTGCCTTTCTATTGAAGCAAACAGGGCTAAACAAAGGGGGGAATATTCATAGAAGGGGTGGTGTTACCTGGTCTACCCCTTGGTAGACCAAGATAGTGGTCTACTATTTTGGTTCTAACCAGTTGGAACTTGCCCTGCCTCATCCCATTTTGATCAGGGCAATTTGAAACTTGTTTGAAGGCTTCCTGACTCAGGCAATGCCTGGAGCAATGTCCAAAGCATGGCCTGCAGCAGTGCCTTACCCAAAGCAGTACCCGCCAGTTTCCTGTCTCAAAGTGACTTGGCAGAGGACTCTTGGGAACTGTGTCAGGCCCTCTTGGCATGGATAAGCCATGCACTTCCTATTCTAATGTGGCCACACCATGTTAGGAGTCAATAGGACATTTTTATAAGGCTTAGGGTTTCACCCAGGAATATGTGTACAGATTTCCTCTGCTATAACAATTCCAAATATATCTGGGCTTCTGTGGCCTTGTTTCTTGAGACCCTGAACACATTTGCAGGAAAATAAATAAATAACTGCTTCTTTTTAAGTATTAATACTAAAACTTTATCTCTTAGTTCTTGATGATTCCCATTTCTGATAATGATCCCCATGTCTGAAAATAACCAGTGCCCTGCTTGCTGAAGTTCTGTCTAATGAAATGCACTAATTTTTCTATCACTATTATTGATGTTGTTTTTTTCCCCACAGGAATTTATTTGTTATGTCTACTGAGCTAACTAGTAGGTTCAATGACTTCCTTGAAGTTGATTTAGATATTATTTTTTTCATGCACCATGGGGGAGGGAGGTATTTCTCATAACTCAGTTCTGAAAGCTATCAGAACATGTAGATTCTAACATTTTAAAGATTTGGAAGAAGAGCAGCATTTTTTAAAAGCCCAAGTTATCTATGGGGTTTATTCTTTTATATATATATAAATGTGTGTGTGTGTGTGTGTGTGTGTGTGTGTGTATTTACATATATAGTTACCATAGTAACTAAACAGCAGAACAGGTAAAGGCATGGGAAAAGTGGCTTAATCAACACCATGAGCTTCATTTTGTTAGAAGAGGAAAAGCCTATAAGAAAAAAGTACGTTTCTTTGCATGAATCAACTAAGGTTCATGACTTTTTAAATATTTAGTTTTCTGTGGAAGATTATCTTAATTTTGTTTGTGTTTGTGTTTCATTGATATCTTGATAGCATTTGCAGCCCATATTGTTTAATTGAATATTTGTGTAGGGCCTAGTTTCATAAGCTCAGACAAAGAAAATGGCCTCGGTACCAGAATGGGTCCAGAGCACATTGTTTAGAAGAAAGGAATATGTTGCCTCAGGGAAATACATTTTCTTAATTTACAATAAGATTTAAAGTTAGCAATTCTCTCTAGGAAAGTACTGTGTTGTTTGTTTTAATCTTGCTCAATAAAAATAACTCTACCTTGAATTGTTTCCTTTTAATGAGGGTGTTTAAATAAAAGTTTCATTTTTTTTTGATAATTCATATGGTACTTAGATTAGTTGCAATTTGGGTAAACATAAAAACAACTTACATAGAACATATGCCAATGTTGACTTTTCTAGAATTTGTAAATATACTTGTTGAAGTTTAAGTTCCAGATATTTATTTAAGGCACTTCATGACTTCATCATTTTTTAATTATTTCAATATCACAGGGTTGTCCGTAAAGCCTGAAATCATAGGCAAATATACATAATGTCATCAATGCCATCTTCATGTTATCAACATAAAATAATATTATGTCTCTTCAGATTTTATGGGCATCTTGGATAATTGCTCAGAGCTTACTCAGATTCTGCTTTCTCTGTTTAGTATCTTGCATAGACTTATGGTTATGAAAAAATTCTCACTATTATTAACATATATTTCTTTTTTTCTTGATTTACCCTTTTTTTATTTCAACATATTATGATATTATGGGTACAAATGTTTAGGTTACGTATATTGCTTTTATCCCTTCTCCACCCTCCCCTCCCCCAAGTCAGAGCTTCAAGCATGTCCATCCCCCAGACAGTGCCCATCACAGTCATTATGTATGTACATATCAGAGCTGGAGCATATATTTTTATGTAGTTACACTTTCTTTTTATTCAAAAACATAGACCAGGGACAGGTGTGGTGGCTCACGCCTGTAATCCTAGCACTCTGGGAGGCTGAGGTGGGAGGATTGCTTGGGGCCAGGAGTTTGAGACCAGTATGAGCAAAAGTGAGACCTCCATCTCTACAAAAAATAGAAAAATTGGCCAGGCTGGTGGCATGCTCCTATAGTCCTAGATACTTGGGAGGTTAAGACAAGAGGATCTTTTGAACCCAGGAGTTTGAAGTTGCAGTGAGCTATGATGATGCCACTGCATTCTAGCTGGGCAGACAGAGCAAGACCTTGTTTCAAAAAAACAAAACAAAACCAAACCATAGACCAACCATACACTATTATTGACATACATACATATAGGCATGTTTTTATTTACAACAGAGGTTGCAAACTTATAGACCATGCAATATGGCAGCATTAGAAAATTTCTTATATTAAACTCAAATTTCTGTCTTCTTTGAAAGACTTCTATAATCTAGTAATCTGGGCCCATATTCCTTTACTGGAGCAATGATCCAGAGCCAAGAAAGAACTGCCACTATTAGGAGAATTCCTACAGTTTTTGCCACTTTTTGTAACTTCACTCACATGCACTTATTCTTGCAGAGGACCTCTGAAGGCATGGCATGCATGTTGGAATCTCTGATTTTAATGGAAGAGTCAACACATGTTTACCACTATTGGTTCTTTTTCTGCTCAAGAATTGTGACTACAAAAATATCATTTCACAAAGACCAACAAGATAGGAACTGAATGATCTTGGACTTTCAAAATCTCTCATCCACGGTGGCACTAAGCATCTGGTGACAAGCTGAAGAATCCTGTAAAGTGTTCAGATGGTTCAAATAGTCACATAAAAAAAAAATAAACTCATGCTAAGCAACCATTATGAGTATGGCACTGTTTTCTACATAAACTCAAATTTTCACAATAACTGGGTGGTAGCTATTATCTCCGTTTTATAAATAAGACTTAGAGAAGTTAAGGCCAAAGTTATAAATTAAGTGGCAGAGCTTGTTCTCAAGCTTAAGTTGGTCTGGTTGCAAAGATTGGGTGCTAGTGTTAGGTTTATATAGGCAAACATTGACATTATTGAAAGACTCATTTCTGTCCTTAACCTGGAGGTCAAATACTCTATAGAGAAGAACGTGAATGCAATGAATTTGAATGCGAATATTCTGTGTGTGTTAGTGTGTAAGTCAGTGCGCACATTTTTCTGAAAAGAGCTATAGTTTTCATTAGATTCTCAAAAGGGAGCAGTGACCCAGAAAAAGGCTAAGAAATATGAATACTTACATAATGTAGAAACTTCTTAGAATTGGAAACATTCACTAAATTGGCTCCCGGCACAAACTATTTGTTTCTGATGTAATCTACTTGTCTAGCACAGATGAATCCTTCAGAGTCCCTCCCCAACCCCTGCCCACCAGCGAATATAAGGTTTGATCATTCTCAGTATTTAACTACCTTATTTTTTAAAAAAAGGAAAAGAAAAACATAATTTTCTTTTAGATTAATGACATTAAGAACATTTCCACTGTGTAAGGGAAGGTTCATTTATAAATGATAAAACATTAGGATAAGAATCTATAAATTCCCTTTCATTAAAAATGCCATTATTCCTCTTCCTTTTCTTTTTCTCCTCTCTCTTACCTTCTCTTCCTTTTTTCCTTGAACAATTTAGCCCAAAAGCAATTAGGAGGGGTGAGGCAAGATGGGTGTCCACACCCAAGAGGGGTAGAGGAAGACCTAACCAGTGTAAAGAGGGTATCCATGCTGGGAGGTGGTGGCCCAGTATAGGATGCTGAAGAATGTGCAGAGAGAAGAGAGAGGTCTATGTAGGAAGGCAGTCCAGTGAGGATGTCAGAAGTTCTCTAAGCTGTCACAGTGCAGGAGGATGATGAGAAAGGCAGGATGTCCTGGTGAGGGGCTGCCTGGCCCAGGATGTGCAGTCCAAGTCAGGTGAGAAGGGCTTCCTTGTGGACAGTGGGCTAGCTCAAGCTGTCAGCCCCTTAGTTGGGTGAAAAAGGTATCCCTGTTTGGAGGTTAAAGCTCAAGTAGGGTAATGAGGTCATCTACAGGACAGGCAGCTCCCATGCAATATTGAAACTTGAGAATGTTCCTCAAGTGGGGAAGCCTGCATGGGATGTCCAAGCCTGAGCAGGCAGCAGGGGGTGGGGAGCACTTGTGTGGGTGGGCATCCCAGTGGGAGGTGTTGGAGCCACCTGGTGCAAGGTGATGAGGGCATCCACATGAAAGGATGGTAGTAACTATAGGAGATGGGTTACACACAGGGCTGGATAAGACCAGTAAATATATCAGGATAATAGGAGCAAATTTCTCAGTATTAGAAAAGAGACTTGCAAATATGGAAAGGGAGAAAACTAGAATACATTTTATAGTGTTGGATTGGAATTAGAGACATCAGTGTGAACTTGTGGTTTTCAATCTACATACATAGATATAGAAATACACAAGGATGTCAATGTTTTTATGTGTGTATATTGTGCGTGTGTTCTATGTGTATCCTCCTTTCTGTCCAGTAGGAGAGTCTGGTAGCAATATGCCAATAGCAATGAGCACACCTAGATGCCCAGATCTTGTCTTCTAATGACCATTCTCCACCAGAAGGAATCGGGTTTCTTTGAAGATTGGCTACTTCCAGAATGAGGCAAGGAAAGTACAAGGTGAGCTAGGTACATCTTCTTGTCACAGAAAGTAAGGAAATGTTCAAAATATGCTAGGGGAATCATAGCCAAGTTTGAGGGGTACTGTGTGGCTAATGCAGAACAATCTGAGAATTAAATAGAGATAATAATGGATCATACCCCTTGAATAAAATAGGATTCATGAGTCCATATGGTCACAAATAAATAAAATAAAATAAAACACTTCGGTGAGGAACATAATATTTTCATAATATTTATCTCATCACCAAACATTTGTTAATCACAAAGGGATAATTTTACAGTGAAAAACCCTGGAAGACAACAGCCTTAATCAAGTTAATGTCATCAGTAATGGGACAAATGGAAGCCGTCTACCACCTGATATGATGCACGAAGGAAAACATAGCACCATGTCTGTGATATTCCTGCCAAAGATGCATAATCTGTGTCTAACTGTAAGGAAAATTCAGATGAACCCAAATTGGGGGCATTTTACCAAATAATCAACCTTTGAGTTTCAAAACTTAGATCATGAGTGTCAAGGAATGTCAAGGAAATAAAGAGAGAAAAAAAACCAACACCCTTTTGTCTTCTTACCTTCCAGTGGCAGCTCAGGAAGCAATGAGGAAAAAAATACTCAAAAGGTCTCACTTAGTATCTTATGTAAAAAAAAGTTATATGTGAACATGATTACTTAGCCCTTTCAGCACAATGTTTTATTAGTGAAATCTATGAAGCTCATAACTCCTTTAAAAGTATAAAACTTTTCACAGACATTTCCAATGAAACTAAATAGATAACCCACAGAGAAAAAACTATAACTAATAAACTAAAAAGCAAACAAACAAGTCTATCCAACTTTACTAGTAATCAAAGAAATGCAAATTAGAACAATAAATATCATTGTTGCCTGTCAGATTGGCAAATTGCCAACAAAACAACTGATATTCATTGTTGGCAAAAGTAAGAAGAAATAGACACTATTATTATATTATATATATCCTATTTATGGGTGTTTACAACTGACAAAACTTTTCTGAAGAAGAATTAGACATGATGGCTCGAAAAGTTCTTACAAATGCATATGTACCTTGACTAAGCAATTCTACTAGAAATTTATATCAAGCAATTAAAATTACATGTAAAAATATTACCATACTAATATTTGTTGAAGTGTGGCTAATAATTGTAAAATCCTGAATTAGTGAATAATAGTGTAATTTTTAGATAACTAATGCAAATTTTTTAAATGACAGCAATATATAGATAGAGAAAGATGTTCCATTACTAAATGAAGAAAAGGTAGTTCACAAAATAGTTTTCATAATATGAACTAATTTTTGTTAAAAATATATTTAAGCAAATAAGTAAATGTGTAGAAATTCTGAAAAAAATTCTCCCAAATGTAATCATGGTTACCTCTGGGTATTGAGACTGTAGTAATTTTTAAGTTTTCCCATTCTTTTTGCTTACTTGTTTTTTTAATTATGCAATAAGAATGTAGTAATTATGCAATTAAAATTTATTAAGGCTTCATTAACTTACATGCATCAGATGCTCAATATAATTACTTGGTAGGTTTTAAAGAGCTATTGTCATTTTCTTGGTATATATTTTCCCTTAGAGTAAACTACACCCAATCTTACATTAGCCTTTCTTTCCACAACATTCTCTTGCTCAACTTATAAAGCCTCTAACTTTTTTTAAAGGAAAGCATACAACTTGTCTTAAGGCATTTCCATAAGTTGATTTAATCATGCCAAGCCTGTCAGAAACACTTAAGGACTTGCATTTGTTTATTGGAGCCACATGGCGTTCAAAAAAAGTGAAGTCAAAATAGAATGAAATAAAGTAAATGCCCAAGACAGACAAGCCTGCCAATACGCCAACACAGAGCAGTTCCTGTGGTGATGTGGGAATGCAAGGAAATCAAACGAATTTACGAAGGAGTGAGAAGTAAAGCAAAGATTCATGTTAGAGTGGCTCTATCAAAATGAATGAAATCAAGTTTCTCATAATTATTGTCAAAGATGAATCCTCTAAATTTCAAATTCCTAAACTATTCTTTATAGTTCAAAATTTAGCCTCAATATCCCTCATTTTTTGAGGTCTTCTCGATTCACCCCAGGTTTGCAGTTATTTATGTTTCTAGACATGACTAAGTTATTACGTTATGATGGTGGCTCACCTGATTGTGAGCTGTGGACTGGGCCTGGGGCCGACATTATGTCTTGCCATTCTGTTTGTAGCTCCAGTGCTTGGCATAGTGCCTCTGGTTCAGAGGAAGCACTTAGAAAATAGTTTTGAATGAAAGCATTAAATTCATTTAATAAAACCTTAAATTATTTTGGCTGAAGAATCAGTATATCACTTATTTCATTCCTTTAACTATATACAACACACACAAACACATACACAACATGCCTGTGTGTGAGTGTGTGTGCATGGTTTGGTGAAATCCTTTATACTATATTAAAATATTTTGTAAAGTAAATCTGTACTCCATTTCCAACTTAGGAATGTTGATAGGAGTTTGCCAATTGCTACTGAAAGAAAGAAAAGAGAAAAGAAATAAAAAGAGAGAGAAAGAAAGAAAAAAGGGAGAGAAAAATGAAGGAAGGAAGGAAGGAGAGAGTGTGTGACAGAAAGAAAGGAAGGAAAGAAAGCAAGAAACATAGATACCATTTCCCACACATTCAATGAGGAATTTCACACATCTTGGCCCTGAAAATTCATGCTATCCTCTATTTCTTTTCCCTCTTTCTGCCCTGCGAATGGACACTTTGCAGTATTCCATGAAGCCTCAGAACTCTGTAGTGGAGGCCCAGAGATCAAATGGCACCTGGAAACTGTATGGGCATCACAAGGAAAGATAAGCGGCATTTCAAACAATCACAATATTTAAAAAGTCAGATTATTTTCTGTTCCTGCTCAGACCCAACATTTCTGAGTCTTCCAATCACTTGGTTTCTGATACCCAGATCCATTTAGTCAGCCATCACTCTAGCCTGTTTTGCCTAAGAAATTTCTCAAATTCTAATAAGAATAGGATAACTTAGTATTATTCAAATTGTGTTCAATTTGTACCTTCGGTATACCTTTGATTCATTTTTGATGAAGTACATTTTAAAATTTTATTGTATCTTTCAAAATGTACCAGCCTGTTTCCATTTAATAGATCATAGACCCTTAGAAGGCATGAATC